ATAGCTTCACGCCATTTGGGATCTTTGAGAGCTTGATGATGAGTGGTGGGTTTAAGTGTAGGTGGGATGGGATGGGATGAAGGGTGGTGGAGTTCACAAATGAGGAGTTGAAGTATTTGGGATTAGGTTTTCTAGAACGAGAAGGTGGAGTAGGAGATGAAGACGAGGAAGTGGAGTCCACAAACGATGAGGCGGGAATGGAGTTGGCAGTTGGCGTAGAGGGCTGACTGGAGAATGAAGTAGATTCAAGAGTGGCGGGAGTCGGTGACAGAATGGATAGTAGGGAGGCTGGTGTAGCGTCAGCCGATGGTGGTGGCAAGAAGGGTGTAGGAGAGGCAAGCGATGTGATGGTGGGCAGTTCGGTGGGTTCGATAGGAGCAGGTGGAGGAGAAGGGAATGGAGAGTCCGTTGAGGTGGCGGAGGGTTGTAACAGAAAAAGGTATCGACAGTGGGAATGGAAGATGTGGAAGTTGTGGAAGGAAATGTAGATTCAATAAATTCGACATGGCGAGAGTGATATAGGCGGCGAGTTTTGGGATCAAAGCATTTATAGGCGGACTTGGAGGTTGAGTAGCCAAGAAAGATGCATGGCGATGAGCGTGGTTGTAATTTGAATGTGGCATAGGTTCGCAACCACGGGTAGCAAAGACAACCAAAAGGTTTGAGTTTGATATAGTTAGGTAGATGTTGAAAGAGTTGGGGAAACAGGGTTTTGTTGTTGAGAACCAGTGTAGGGAGCCGATTGATGAGATAGACAGCAGTTTGGAACGCATGGGACCAAAAAGTTAGAGGGAGATTTGCATAATGGAGAAGGGCAAGACCAGTTTCAACGACACGACGGTACCAGCGTTCAGCCATGCCGTTTTGTTTAGGGGTATAAGAAGGTGTGGTAAAGTGGGAAATGCCATTCTTTTGAAGAAAAGGGAGCAAGCCAAGATACTCTCCTCCATTGTCTGTAAAGAGAGATATCAGTGGGGTGTTGAAGTATTTTTCCACAGGCGTTTTAAATTGTGGAAAAATGGTTGCAACATCGGATTTCTTTTTCATGGGATAAAGCCAAACATATCTCGAATAGTGATCGATAAAGATAACATAGTAGGTAAAATGATCAATCGATTGTTGCACAGGACCCCACACATCGGAATAAATAAGTTGTAACGGTTTGGTACTAACAAGAGAGTTTTGGCCAAAGGGCAATTTGTGGCTTTTATTAAATGAACAAGATAGACACTGCAAACTGGAAGCAGAAGTAAATTTAATTTGGGATTAAGACCTAAAGATGAAATAAGAGACCGAAACACTTTGATGGAGGGGTGACCAAGTTTGTGATGCCATTGAAGCGGAGAGAGAGAGAGAGAGAGGTGACATTGAGTTGAGGCATGGATGGTAAGATGGCGTGATAGACATCTTCAGTTTTCTCACCCCGCATGAGACGCGCCCCCATGCATAGATCCTTCACCAAGAAATAATCCAGAAAAAATTCAACCGAAACATGATTAGTTTTACATAATTTTGCAATTGAAACTAGGTTTCGACGTAAGCGAGGGGCACACAACACATTGGTCAAAGTTAATTGTCGATGTGTTGTGTGAATATATTTGGAGCCAGTATGAGAGATATGTAAACCTTTGCCATCACCGAGAACGATTTCATCAGGGCCTCCATATTCAGAGACATTGTGAAGTACAGATCAGTAAGATGTCACATGATGAGAGGCACCAATATCAAACAGCCATGTTTGTGGAATCATGGATRAGCCATYRGATGTGGTRACAWTTGCAACTGGGTTAAATGATGGAGAGTTGGCAATGGGAATATTGTTGTCTTTAAGAAACCGAGACAACTTTCGGCATTCTTGAGTAGTGTGACCACGGATGGAGCAGAACTGGCAGAAAGAACCATTCCGGTTTTGGCAGCTGTCGATGGAATTGGTGGACCAGTTTGGTCTATTGTTCCCTTGTTGACGCTGCGGGCCAGAGTTGAAGGGACGTTGATTCCGTTGAAACGAGTTGGAGTTTTATGGTCTGTCTCCTTGTCGAGCAGCGTAGTTAGCCGTATGTACTATGACATCGATGACTGGCGTAGCTTCTTTAAGGCTCCTTTCAAAATCAAGTAGCTTGTCAAAGAGTTCTGGATAAGAGAGTGATTTTTCACGAACCTTAATGGCGGCGACGATGGCGTTATATTCGTCTCCGAGTTGGGAGAGAATGTGAACCATGAAATCTTCTTCTTCAATTGGACTCTGTGCAATGGCGAGGTCATCGGCTATAAATTTCATATCTTGAAGAAATTCTTGAATGTTGCAGCTTCCTTTCGGATTCTTGACTAATTTGGATTTTATGGAGATGATGCGACTTCGTGAGGCACTTGCATAGCTGGAGTTGAGCCACTTCCAGGCTTTTTGAGCGGTGGCCGCCGATGAGATGAGAAGTTGTATCGATTCGGAACAGCTTCCTAGAATGACGCTGATGATAATCTGGTCCTGTCGAAACCAAGGTAAATATTCAGGATTTGGCTTGTTGTCAGCCAGGGTTTTCTTCGGTGGTTGTTCTGTGTCGTCAATGAAGGATTTAAGTTCTAGGCCGATTAGGGTAGACTCCACCTGTTTTCTCCATACTGGAAAATTGGTGGAGGTGAGACGGATTGGAAAGTGAGTTGAGGAAGTGATTTTGATTGGTGCCATTGATAGTTGATTGGAGGAGGATATGATTAAGGATCGACTCGTTGGAGATGAACGAGCTCTGATACCATAAAGAGACTATCAAGAGGATTGAATATTATGTCTCATATTGATGTACAAGGGATTACATCGTTTATATAATTAGCAGCTATACATGGTAAGGATAAATAAATGAGATAACTATGGAAAATACAATAACATTGATCACAAGAATATTCTAGAGGATCAAATCAAATATCTTAAGTATCTGGTTTCGGTTTAGTCGTTATAACTATGTCACCCAAACTACAAGGATATCGAATAAGATGAACAAAAAGAATTTATGAAATATAGGAGAACTTTATGCTTTTATTACTCAAGTTGTGGAATGTGGAGTATGATTTACAAATAAGAGAATATCTCTATTTATACTACTTTATGGTACTATCTAGATAACACCATCTAGATATCTACAAGGATGGTTTTAGTTACATAAGAACTAGAGGTGTACGGTATCCTTCCAGAATATGCTTGTTCCTCTTGATCTTTGTATGACCATTCTTGATCCTTCTCCAAGCTTCTTCCATCTCTTGGTTGATCTGGACTCTTCCGGATAATCCGAAGTACCTTCTAGCATGACTGACATCCTCCTCCACCTAAGCTCATGACGCCCATGTCGCATCCTCGTTGTGCCTCAGTCGGGTGTCTTTCTTCTTCGTTAGTCGTGCTCTCTTGGTTCTTCGGTCACGATGTGTCATATGTTGGTTGTCTGAGCTAATCTCTTCCTTTGTTCCTTCACCTCTGTTTAAGACTCTTTTCATTGAGAATTTTTGTTCCGACGTTCAAACTCTTGAGTTGTTGTGTCTTGTTGCTTGTTTTGAGGCCTCGTGCCTCTTCTCTTCCTTGTAATCGTCCTTGAGGTTCAGGCCTCTTGCCTCTTCCATGATTGCAAGGCTGATAAAGACTTGGCCTTGTGATGTTTTATGGTGTTCACCAAGAAAGACCGACCTCCATTTACAATACGAAGTGAATGAGAGAATGGTATGCGAAAAGGCTTATCTTGTCGATGAAATCCATCACAAGCATGAGTTGGAGGTCATTCATCGGATAACTGTTAGGTCCATGGTACGCTGTAACTATCGATCCAATCCTCATTCCTTTCACAACTCCTCCAATAGATTTAGCCTTCGAGTTAACCGCCTTTATGAAGCCACCTTCCTTCATAATACGGATTCCATGTCTTTGATTTTCAAAAAATGAAGACGAAGAGAGTTAGATACATACATCTATATATATATACATATACACACACATATATATATATGAGGTTTACTTTACAAACCATGTTATTTGTATAAACCGTACAAACCTCATTCAACCGATCATAATTTTTTATTTTGTTCATTTTTTTGTATTTATGAGAGATTGATTAATCATTTTTATTGTGGAGGGTGTATTACCACTAAAGGGCATATTTGGTCTTTTTTGTTTTATTCAGTTTTCATAGTTTGTTAGGTATTGTTTATTGTACTATAAATATCTTTTATTCTCAGTTTTCAATAAACACTTTTGTTTTTCCCATTTTCATACTTCTGTGATATGGCATCAGAGCTCCCACGCTCTCTCTCTACGATTGTTCAATTTTCTGTTCTTCAAATCTGAAATTTCTCAATTAGAAATGGCGGATCAAAATTCTTCTACTCATAACCCTAATTTTTCTACTAATAACTCTAAGTCTTCAATAGCAGCAATCGATGACAGATTGCACCCATATTTCTTATATCATTCTGATAGTCCAGGAATGGTTCTTGTTTCTCAGCCTCTCGTAGGGAATAACTATTCTACTTGGTGTACATCTATGATGATTGTTTTATCTCTCAAGAACAAAACCGGTTTTATTGATGGATCTTCTTTAGTCAAGCCAGACGATTCAGATCCAATGTTGTTGAGTTCATGGATTCAAAGTAATAATATGGTGATTTTGTGGCTGATGAATTTAGTTTCCAAACCAATTGCAAGTAGCATCATGTACGCTGATACAGCACACAAGATTTGGACAACTCTCAAGAATCGTTTTCAAGAGAGCAATGGACCACAAATTTTTCAAATTCGAAGTGATCTCGTGAATCTGAGATAGAATCAAGAATCTGTGAACATTTATTTCATCAAATTACAGGCTCTATGGGAAGAATTAGCCTATTTTAGACCTCACTGCAGATGTGGAAAGTGTGACCACGGTGGAAACAATGAGATCGAGAAACATTATGAAGAAGAGCATGTTTTGACTTTTCTCATGGGGCTCAATTAGTCGTATTCTCAAATACGTAGTCAGATTTTACTAATGAAGCCCTTGCCTCAAGTTGATAAGGTGTTTTCACTAGTTGCTCAGGAAGAAAGCCAAAGAAACGTCAGACAGTTGCAACAACAAGTTGTTAGTAATCACTCTATGGCGTTAAATAATAATACCGGATCCTATGGATTGAAACAACTGGTCACCAACAATTTGTTGCTAAACTCAGGTAACCGATTTAATTCTCGAGAAAGACCTTTTTGTACCCACTGTCAATTGCAGGGCCACACTAAAGACAGGTGCTATAAGTTGCACGGGAATCCAATCGGATACAAATCGAAAAACAGAGTAAATAATGTTTTTGTTGAAGGATATGTTGCACCTCATGGTGAAGATCTCAACAGCGTGATCAAAGGTCTTTCATCGACTCAATGTCAACAACTCTTATCGAATTTATCTAGACATCTGATCGGTCAGTCGGTGTTTACTACTGAGAATGCGGATTGGTGCAAAGAATCCTCAGGTATATGTTCTTCTCTTTCATATAGAATTGGCTCTATATCTTATAATACATGGATATTAGATTCTGGAGCGTCTAAGCATATTTTTCGAGATATTAAAAGATTTATTAATTCTCGAGCGGTATCAAATTTCTTCGTTACACTTCCTACGAATGAATCTGTTCGAGTGAAATTGATTGGAGATGTGGTGGTTAACGATAGTTTGTTATTGCGTGATGTACTATTCGTTCTAGAGTTTCATTTGATTGATCTCAGTAAGTGCTCTAAATTCTGATCAGAATTTCATAGTGCAACTTTATCACAATTATGGTTTAATTCAGGAGAAGAAGATCAACAAAATAATTGGCAAGGTTGATCAATGTCAAGGGTTGTATGTTTTGGAGGAAGATAAGAAGGTAGCAATAAATCAAGTTTTTGCAGTTTCTCTAGATGTTTGGCATCAAAGAATTGGCCATCCATCAAATAGAACATTACTAGTAATAAAGTCTTTGTTGAATGTCAAGACAAGTTTACAAGAAAGTAATTGTACCATTTGCCCTTTGTCAAAACAGAAACGACTTCCATTTGTTTCATTAAACAATGCTTGTGATAAGTCTTTTGATCTTGTGCATCTTGACACTTGGGAACCATTTCATTTACCGGATAGAAATGGACACAGATACTTTCTTACGCTGGTTGATGATCACAACCGATATACGTGGGTGTTTTTAGTTAAAAATAAGTCAGATGATATCCAAGTTATTCCGTGGTTTTACAATATGGTATTAACCCAGTTTGGGATGAAAATTAAAGCTTTCCGTACAGATAATGCTCAAGAATTGAATTTTATGGATTTCTTTCTTGACAAAGGGATATTACATGAAAGGTCATGTGTTGAGAGGCCACAACAAAACTTGGTTGTGGAATGCAAGCATCAATATTTACTGAATGTGGCTCGTTCATTGATGTTTCAATCTAAGGTAACTCTTCAATTATGGTCAGAATGTATTTTAACTGCTACATTTCTGATTAATAGGACGCCTTCTGAAATTCTTCATTACAAAATTCCTTAGGAGGTATTATATGATAAGCTCCCAGATTTTTCCGTGTTACGTACATTTGGATGTCTTGTGTTTGCCTCAACTTTGACTAACCAACGACACAAGTTTAGTCCACATGCCAAAGCGTGTGTCTTTGTATGCTATCTCGTGGGAATGAAGTCATACAAGTTGTTGGATTTAGAGACAAAAGAAATATTTGACTCTCATGATGTTTTTCACGAGGATGTATTTCCTTATGACGGTGGGCATGTTGATAAAGATTATGATCCATTTGCATATGTTGTTATTCCTGTGGTTGGAACAGATGATTTTTATGAAAATAAGAGACACAAAGTTCGTATGGAGCAAATTCCAAGTTCGGAAAATGAAGATGAGCTTGGGGAGCCAATTTTCGGTGAACCAATGGAGCACCGAGCAGAATCATTAACAACAACAGGGGCTGATTGTAGTCAGGCAGAAAACAGTGATCGAAGATCATCTTGAAATCGGCGACCTCCTTCTTACCTAAAAGAATATCATTGTAATGTTGTTCATGGTGGTAACTCAAGTACATTGCCATATTCATTATCCAAATATTTTGGTTATCAACAGTTAACAGAGGCACAAAGAAGCTTTGCTCGTGCAATATCAACTAGTATGGAACCTTTATCATACAAGCAAGCTGCTGAAAATACATAATGAATTTTGTCAATGAAGGAAGAACTTAAAGCCATGGAATTAAACAATATGTGGACTGTGGTTCCACTATCGGAAGGAAAAAGTTCAGTCGGCTGTAGGTGGATGTACAAGCTAAAGTATGGACGTTCGAGTGTCATCGAGAGGTATAAAGCTCGACTCGTCGCAAAGGGGTTTCATCAACAAGAAGGCGTTGATTTTGTTGATACGTTTTCTCCCGTCGCTAAGATGGTTACCGTCAAGACCGTCTTAGCCTTGGCGTCAATTAATCGATGGGAGCTTATTCAATTGGATGTGAATAATGCTTTTCTTAACGGAGATCTTGAAGAAGAGGTTTATATGGACATCCCTCAAGGATATAATGTTGAGGGGGAGTTTCCTGTTGGAACAAAGTTAGCTTGTAGACTTTACAAATCCATTTATGGGCTCAAGCAGGCATCAAGGCAGTGGAACACAAAGTTTTCAATTTTTATGTTGCCGATTGGTTTCTCACAATCGAAAGCTCATTATTCGTTATTTCATAAAGGTCATGGACAAGATTTTGTTGCTCTATTGGTGTATGTTGATGACATAATCATCACGGGGGCATCAAAATGTGGACTTACTAAACTAAGGGAACAATTGAGTAATGCATTTAAACTCAAGGATCTGGGTGATTTGAAGTTTTTTCTAGGTTTGGAAGTCATTAAGTCTGAAGAAAGAATTTTACCATCTCAAAGAAGGTATGTCTTACAATTACTTGAAGATAGTGGCATGTTAGCCACAAAACCCATAAAACAACCAATGGATCCACGTCACGTGTTGACCGCGGATGATGGAGATTTGCTTACGGATGCATCTCAGTATAGAAGAATGATTGATAGATTGTTGTACTTAACTATCACAACATCGGATGTGTGTTTTGTTGTTCAAAAGCTTTCTCAGTACGTTTCATAACCAAGAACGTGGCGTATGGTAGCTGTGAAGCATTTGATGAGATGCTTGAAAGAAAAACAGGAAGTGGTGCTTTCTATTCGTCTCTATCGTCGCTCCAACTACAAGCTTATTATGATTCCGATTGGGGTAAATGTGTGGATTCGAGGAGATCTGTAACAGGATTCTGTGTTTTCCTTGGGAATTCATTGATAAATTGGAAATCGAAAAAGCAACCCACAGTATCAAGGTCTTAAACTAGGTCCGAATATAGGGCTATGGCGGTAGTTACGTGTGAGTTAGTTTGGATCAAACAACTGTTATAAGACTTGGATGTGCAACATGATCAGTACCTACTCTTGTTTTGCGATAACAATTCGGTAATGCAAATAGCTTCTAATCCTACATTTCATGAGAGGACAAAACACATTGACATCAATTGTCACTTTATTCGGGATAAAGTGGTTAATAAGCCTGTTCGATTGATGTCGGTTGAGTCTGCTTATCAATTGGCAGATGCGCTCACCAAACCATTACCTAGGCCGCAACTTCAATTTCTTTTATCCAAGATGAACCTTCAGAATCCGTTTTTACCCGGTTCATCTTGAGGGGGAGTATTACCACTAAAGGGCATTTTTGGTCTTTTCTGTTTTATTATGTTTTCATAGTTTGTTAGGTATTGTTTATTGTACTATAAATATCTTTCTTCTAACACTTTTGTTTTTCCCAATTTCATACGTTTGTGATAAGGTGTTAATCATGGATATTATCATATTCATTATTTTAATTTTAGATAAATACATGAAATAGTTTCATTAAAATTTCATTAAGTATTATATGAAACAACTTCATCAAAAAAGTATTATATGAAATAATTTCACAGGATTAAACAGTTTCATGAATTTTTTTTTATAAGATTAAACAATGAAATCAACAGATGAGGGTGATTTGCATTGTTTGTACAAATTGGGTGGTTTGCATTTGATCATTCCTCTCTCTCTCTCTCTCTATATATATATATATATTATATTATATAGGTAAGTGAGCCTAATCAAATGAGAACTGATTAATTTGTGGTAACTGTGAGGTCCAATCTCAACCACAAATTAACGGATAAATTAGAAAATTAATAATTATGGTAGTTTGAGTTAAAATTATAATTAGAGGTCATATTAGGTATTTTTTAAAAACTCCTCTCTCATCTCTCCGACCTCCAATCTCCGACCTCCGGTGAAATCGGTATCACAGTATATAACAGTGGGTATCACATTGTTTATCTTTGTTTTTAAGGTTTGAGTTGGTATCACAATGGTATCACAGTATATCACAATGGTATCACAGTATATCACAATGGGTATCACATTCACCGGAGGCCAGAGATTGGAGGTTGGAGAGATGAGAGAGGAGAGAGAAGTTTTTTAAAAATACCTAAAATGCCCTCTAATTATAATTTTAACTCAAACTACCATAATTATTAATTTTCTAATTTATCCATTGATTTGTGGTTGAGATTGGATCTCACAGTTACCACAAACTAATCAGTTCTCCCTTGAATGGACCCTTATATATAGGCATAATCAAATGATAACTAATTAGGTTGTGGTAACCGTGAGGTCCAATATAAGTCAATCATTTTATGATATTAATTGTATTACCTTAATTAACAGGTAAAGGGTGTTTTAGTAAAATGATTAATCATAATTTAAATATTTTTCTTATTTAATAGTTATCAAATTCGGTTTCCTTAATTATCAAGAATTCGGTTTCTTTAATTCGGTTTCCTTAATTATCTCAACAAAATTGTATCATAGTCGTGTATCGCATTGTGTTTGTGTGTGGTCTAAAACTCAGATCACATCTATTATCAACCCATGTTCAAAACATTTTCACAGTGGCATCACAATGTGTAACACAATTGGTTTTGTGTCTTACTCTTATAAATTCTTGGGTATCACAACGTGTATTATATTTGTTTTGTGTTTTACTGTTAGAAATTCTTGGTCGGAGAAAGAGAGGGGGTGAGAGGAGAGAGATTTTAAAAAGAGTAATTTACCCCTATATATTATCTAATAAATTTAAATTATTTGAAAATTAATGAATAATTACCAAAATTAATATGTTTAATAATAACCATTGGTTATTAATAATGTGTGGTTGAGATTGGATCTCACAGTTATCACAAACTGAAACACCTCATCTCATAAATTACATGTAACATATACTTTATACATCAGAAATACATGTTGATACACCACATAGATCCCTTAGTACAAGAATCTACCAGTACTGAATACATGATCTAAAAATTCAAAATACAATTCTTGTACTAATAAAGTTTCATCTACCAAAACTATACATATCATCAGCAATTCTTCATGCAGATAAATATATCGAAAAATATTACATTTTCCCCTTCCCCTTACCGTCTACACTTCCTGCAATACATATTTAAAATCACAAAATGAGGGTTAGACCGAAAGGTCTAGTGAGTTCCCTTTTTATGCTATTACAGGGTAAAAATCACCAAAACTTTTATATAAAACAACTTTTCATATATATAACAAATATAAGCATATTACCAGCATCTTCCACTTTTCAAGCCAACTCTCTGCTTGCAAATAATATATCAAAACCCAAATAGGTATATACTAACTAGGTTTATCATAGTGTCACTTTTAAACCTTCTAAATTAAATAAGGTTTATTCAAAGTTTCAGGCCAAACCTGGTATTTCCTCTTCAATAACATTCGGACTATGATTTCCAATAAGAACCCTGATTCTAAACCGTTAAATCACAAAGAAATAAAGACTCCAGACCACGGTAATCTTAAAGAATATAATAGTAAGAGTTATATCATATAACACACATACAAATGTCACCCTTATATCCAAAGGTACTCCTTTCCTTGATATGTCACTCTTATCCCATGGTACACCTCTCGTTGATATGCCACCCTTATTTTCTCATCAAAAGTTTTCACAAAACAATTCCATATAGAATAGACCACAGTCAATGGAATATTACCAGCTCAAAATTATTTTTATCAAAAATTCCCACTTTATGATAAAAATAACAATTTTTATAAATATTACATAAGTCAAAGTCCAAATCCGGTCAACTTAAACTTGGCCGGACTTCATCACCGGTCAAGACTTGGCCGATTTACCAAATCCGATCAATCATGCTATATCCTGTCCGATTTAACAATCCAGATAACACTTAAGAGGCTTTGTCCTATTTAACAATCCGGACAACACTTAAGAGGCTTTGTCTGGTTTAACAATCCGGACAACACACTTGTCTGATTTATAACTAATCTGCACGACCCTTGAGCGATCTAAGACTAAATCACACAATACTTGATCGTATTCATACTTTTTCGTTCAATGCTTTCAAGCGATTTATATTTTTCAAATCTCACTAACTCTTTACATCGATCAACACTATGAGCGATTAAAGCTAAACCGGACAACAAGTGTCCAATTTAACCATAATCCGATCAACGCTTCGTCCGGTTAAACATAATTCCGATGATCCTTCACCCGGTTTAACATAATTCGGGTAATACATTAACATAGTTCAATTTATGCTTATTCAATGTATTTTCAAAACATTTAACCACTCACCTTTGATTTCTTTTGAAAATCACACTTGAAAATCAGCTTTGAAATCTTGCCAAGAAACAATTCGGCCAATGCTCCTCTTCTAAATCGCACAACTTTTCTCAATTTTTGACAGAAGAGTGAAAAGGACGAGTTAAGCCTCCTTTTATACTTTTCTTTTCAGGAAAGTCGGCTAATATAGCCTTTCTTCCTCCCCCCACATGCATGCACACATACCATGCACATATACAACTCTTGTATATACACACATACATATATACCTATGCATATAC